AGGGAAAAAAAGAATCCACGGGCAGAAGAATATATTTGCTAACCTATTACAAATACGTGCCCATAGGCCCCGCGCCTCACCATCTACAGGAAAAGCAGATGGAGTTAACATTTGTAACCACAAGCAGCCAAGGCATTTTAGCTTTCATAATCTCGTTTAGAATCAATGTAGCTTCAGTTTTCTATACAATCAGGGTAAGGGTGGGAGCTGAACTCCCCTCCCCCCGCAAAAAAACCTGATCTCATCCCACACATTAAACTAACCATGTCTACCTGCCGTGGCTATGCGGGATCTTAAATAAACTATCCGCTAGTTTGCAAAAAAACCCACGGATCTAAGCCACGATATTTCCACTACTTGCACAACAGATGTACATCACTCTATTTCAGTTTAATCTTAGTGTAAACGTACGCGAACAGCAAAGCATTAACTAGGAAATGTAACTGTATTCTCCATGCATAATAACCTCTCCCTCGTGTGTTTGCCAGCTTCACCACGTAAAATACTGGACATTGGGACTGTGATATCTAAATTAGGGCCGAATTCTCCTCATACATACACTACGTGCAACCGCGTGGAGTTTCCCTCGTCCTGTTTAGTGGGACTTGTCCGGCTGCATTTGGACGCAGACTCTGTCCTGTGGTTTTTTGTTAAGTCATCCACATTTCTCTAGACGATTCAATTCTCTATTCAGTAGCTAGGAACTTTTGAGTTGCCTCTATGAATTATACTGTGACAGAAATAAGAGTAGGGAACTAGGATGCTCATATAACAGATTTAAAAGATAACCTTTACATTTCAAATCTCAGGCTCGAGCAGGTCAATAAGGATTATTCGTGATCTTGAAAATCCTAACTGCAGTGTTTACTATGGAAATGGGAAGGTCAAGAATGCAAGCACAGTTTACAAAAAAAAGGCACCATAATCTATCCTTTAACCATCAACCTCGCTTTTGGCTACACATATAAGTAGGCTGAGCCTGAAGAGGAAGGAATCTGTTTGAAATAGCATTAAAACTAGCAACCGATTCAAATGGCATTGACCTGTAGCTATAATTGCAACAAAATAATATTTTGATGCACCGCCAGAATAAACACTGAGAACTGTTGCTTAGAGAGAAGTTTTAGGTATTTTTTCCTAGAAAAAAAAGGAAAGGTGGGGATTTAATCAAATTAGGTTCTTTCTCTGCTGCTATTTCATTTTGCCCCGTTAGTCAGATAAGTTTCCTTCGGGGTTCTAGAATAAAGGGAAAGTCAGAAGTCAAACCAGTAAGTGATGGCACTTTGTTTTCCCGCTCTTTAGGAACCAAGGGTACCCAAGATAAACCAAATCATATGCTTATTTTAAATAGAATATTCCATTCAAGACCTCAAGATTAAGGTATTCCTGTCAGATAAAATGTCAGTCACTAACTACTTAGACACCACATTGTGGAAGCTTGGTAGCCACCACATTGTGAAAGCCTGGTATCCCTGGTAAAGATGATACATATCATGTAAACCCCATCAACAAGATCAAAGTCTTCTTCTTTAATAGGATCCAATACATGTCAAACCTCATTCCAATCAAATCGTCCGTAAATGAATTCAAGATGAATATGTCATAGAATAATGTGACAGTGCAATCACATAGGGTCAGGGGTTGTTGTTTCAATGAGAGAGTCGTCAAATATTAATTCTAGAACCTCCAAATGAATAGGCATTGAGCGGGATTAAGCAGCTGCTGGTGGGGCGTTGTGTCACTGATTTGTGTTTATGCAAGTACGTTAACCACTAAGCTGAAAAAAATATTGTCTCCTTTGAACTTCAAGAAAGACATATTTTAACTTACTTGACTTTTCCAGGATGTTTCTGTAAAGTCGTTTTCTTTTCCTCATTACAAGGGAAGTCTTGGGTCTCATTTCTTGACTTTGTTCCTGTTTGGGGAGAGGGGTGGAAAGTTAAGAGTAAAACAATTTTCCTGAGTTATTAAATGATGAGAAGGGATATGATTCGAGAATCATGCAACGAGATATTAAAAAAGAAAAAAGAATGAACCCATCTCAAGCTTGTTGAACTCAATCTTTCTGTAACCTTTCCAAAACTGAAGAGAAAAATGGTGCTTCCCCCTCCCCGCCAAAAAGAAGCTTGCACGTATTTTATAGAGTAATGGAGTTTCCATGGTTGATTTGGGGGGGGTGGGGAATTATGAAAGGACATCTTTTCATCTCTGCTTTGATCTGGCATTCACCTTCTGGCAGTGTGTTGTAAGGCGAATTTCTACCAACTTGAATATATTGTTTACAAACCTCTCCGTCCTAAAATTAAATTTCGTACTGCTTGCAACACACCAACCTGAGATGCTGTCGCAGTTTTTAATCATATTTCATCAACATAGATTAACATTACAAAGCTGACACTCTTGGCTGTGGATATCAACTTGCTCTCTGTACCAGACACACCATTCTCCCTGATGAAGATAGTACTCTTTGGTGCCTTCGGATATATTCCTTTTAGCACTAGGAAACACGAGGTCTGCCTGCAGACTTGATTTTTATTGAAATATTTTAATCCGATTTTTCAAAAATTAAGCACCAGCTGATTTTTTTTTTATATACTAAAAAAGAGCGGAATCTGAGATCAATCTGTGTATATGGGATTTTTTCTTTTGTCCTCCAGGAATTTACAAATATAAATACCAGATTTGTTAATTGTGACCCCTCATAAAAATATAATGAATATATGCTCACATTCTCTTAAAATAATTTGACATGCACTTCAGCATTTTTACCACCATGACGGAAAATTTGTGCGAGAGTAGAGAAGTATGTATCTACTTACGAAACTTAATATAACACGTCTAAACTTTGACAAATGTTGATTATTTAGATAGATCAACAATATCTTCTTTACCTAGACTATTATTTTATATTTTTAATTTGTTAATTTTTAAGATTGTGGATGCCGTAATAGCTAGCGCTCGGGCATGCATAAAACGTCAAGTTTAACTTGTTGAAACCTGAAAAAAATCCCAGTGTCGTATTTAGAATTGTAAATGATCGTCAGGTGACAAAAGCGAAGGTGAAGGACTCTGTCTGGAAAGAAGTCTTGGGTATAGGGCACGGGTCAAATCTCTCATGCCTCTGTCACGTAAATAGTCCTCCTGCCTGAGGAAGGAAAGTTTCTGCTGGACAACACTAACCTTTCCAGAGCTCTCCATCCACATGGATCCTTCCTAAAGCTAGCAGGCAGCAACAGTGAAGACCCAGTGCTAATCTAACAGATGCTCAAGCGATGGCGAAATGTGAGCAACAATTTTTACTCTTGCGCGAACCTGTTCAGTACCTGGAAGACAACGGGTGAACGTGAAAGGTGCTTCTGTGTGTGGGTGGTGTTTGCCCCTAGAAAACTTTGACTTCTGCTGCAGGTCAAAGGTGCTGACCCTCCAGGTCCACACTCAACCCAGTGAGCGAGGAAGCGAATGTTGTTGGCACCACGACCCGGGCTGCTCGGGCTTGGGACGGCTGCAGCTGCCCCGGCGCGTCCCTGGGCCCCAGGTGAAAGGCGGGCTCCCCGCATGTGATCCCTGCCTTGTCTGTCCAGTCGCGGGTAGGACCAGCATCAAGGGTACTGCTCCCGAGCCCCGTTACTGCCCAGGTCAGCCCGTACTTTCCGCACCCCGTCAGGGAAGTGGGAGAAGGTTTATGGTTTGCCTTGAAGCTAGGCTCTATTTTTTCTTTAAATAAAGTTCACCTGTAAGGCTCAGGACAGCCACAAGCCCCGGCTGCTGCACTCTCCCCCAGGAGCCACAGGTTTGTTATTTCACGGGCATTCAAGCCTCGCTGTAAAGGGGGGAGATGGTCCACGCCGCTCTGGCTGCGCGGCGAGGGGGAGCTGGGGGCTGCTTGGTCTCCTTGCGCGTGTCCCCGGGATGCCCCGAAGCTCTTGCGTTCTCGCGGCTTCGCCTGCGGGCCTGTGCGGTGTCTGCCCCAGCCCCGGAGCATGTGCGGGACACACGCTACGCGCCGAAGCGCGGTGCTGGTGCAGGGCACGCCTGTCTGGGGGCGCTTGCACTTGGCGGCGGCTCGACTGCTGGAGCAGGGCAGTGGCTGAGCCCCCGGCCCTGGGGCCGCCGCCGGCCGAGCTAGCGAGCCCCCGGCTTGTCCGCTGCCGCGGTGCGGGGGGCAGTTAACCCGTGAAGCGCCTCTCGGGAAGGAAAGCAGCTTCGCGGGACGGATCCCCGAGACCAACCCCCCGGCGGCCCCGAGTGGCAGCGTGCTGCAGCCCCGGGCAGAGATGCTCTGCTCTGTGGGGAACCCCCCCGCCTCCCGCGGGCGCAGCGACGCGTGGCCCCGAGCCCCTGCCCTGGTGGCGCCCCTTGCCCGGGTCTTTACCCGCGCCTCGGGGGAGGGCTGGAGGGAGGGGGCAGCCCTGGGTGCTTGTGCCCCGGTCCCAGTGGGGCGGAGACACCCTGGGCCGTCCCAGTGGGGGCGGAGAAGCCGCTGCCCCCGGGGGTGCGCACAGCCCGTGCCCCTCCCTGCCCCCTCGGCAGACTGGGGGGATGTCGCTGCTCTGGCGGAGCGACGGCTGAGGAGCCCCTTTCCCTTGGCGCAGGGGAGCACAGCCCTGGGGCAGACGCGGCCCCTTCCCTCTGTGAGGGGAGGCAGGGGCGAGGGGCACAGGACCCCTCGAGGGGAAGCCGCCCTGCTCCACAGCCTCCTTGCCTACCCCAGCAGGTGGCCAGCCCTCTCCCAGCCAAGGTGCGCCAAGCCTTCCCCACGTGGGGGGCCGGGATGCCAAGCCACTTTCTCAGAGCGGGCATGGGCGCCCTGCCCCCTCGCCTTGGGCTGCCAGGCCCCCTTCCCTGTTAGCCAGGGGGTGCCAAGGACCCAGGCAGGCTGGGGGGGGAGCGGGTGCTAGGTCCCTCTCTGCCCGCCGGTGCCCCCCGCCCCCCGCACTCACTTACCCCACTCGACCTGTTGAAGCTGCTCCCTCAGTTCTGCCCATCATTTCTGAACTGACAAAAAAAGGAGGGGGTAGGAACAAAAACCCACCACCTCTCTGGCGGTTCCAGCGAGGCGGTCATCCTTCATTTCTTCTTTTCTGGCTTTCTGGAAGCAGTTGGGGAATGTATGATGAAGCAGAAATGAGCCGTCAGGATGATATTTTAATGGCTTATGTGTCACGTTGGTGCGTGTGGCTTTGAACTGGAGCAGCTTTCGTTCCCTGCAGAGCGCGCGCCGCAAATCCCACTTGATAACTTCTACAACCCACAACTTTTTTTTTTTCACATCCCCTGTTACTCTGTAGACTTAGACGCGCTGCCTAAAAATATCCTCTCGCCAGCCTTCCTCCTAGATTGCCCACGGGTTGCAGAGGAGTGGGTTCCCCCTGCATTTTGGAGGGATTGTAAGAGTGGACAATCGAGTTTATTGCACTCCCAGTGTCACTGCCTTGTAGGTTTCTCATTATTAGGGTGTGAGAACCTTGCACTTTACCCTGGTATTTTTAGCAGGAGGCATAAATAGTAATATAACATCCAGTAAAAGATAGGCAAGCACTCACTGACCTCCCCCCACACACACCCACACCCACCATGCATAGTTTATACCTGTTGCTCTAAGATATTGTAATTGTATTTTTTTCACGCTTGCTTCACAAAACAGGCTAAAAATGTAGCCCCAGCTACATTTATTCATAATGAGTAGGAGTAATCATTCGACAAGGCTGCACTGAAAATCATCTTCACCTATTAAAGAGATGCAAACTGCTCAGCTAGCTATATACAGCGATACATTTATTAATACATTTTGAAAGTTGTTATTTTGTAATCGCACTTTATCCCCTTTGAAAAAGGCAGTTCTATATCCCCTTTAAAAAAAAGGAAGTCCTGAAATGAGAAATATTCAGGCGATCCCATGTCCGATTCACTAGTACCTGAGATGGTGATTGTTTCCTCATGCCTTTCATTTGAAAGGATGAGCTAAAAGTTTCTTTCTTTAGGAAGAAGAGTTTGAAGGGATAAGATTTACTTGCGAATAAACCAAGTGGAGGGCTAAAAAAAGGGAAAATTGAAGGATTCCGACTCTTAGCTAGCTTTTTGTGTTTTCGTTAGCAGAAAATAATTAGACCTAATAAATATTCAGCCTACTGAGTAAATAAATAGCCTGCAGGATTTTTTTTTTTAATATTCTCAGTAAAAGGCAAATCTGGTATGTTTTTTTAAAAGCCGGAGCATCATTTAAAATAATGTGCAAATGTTACTTAGCTTAATTGATTGAGTCACAAAGATTTTCTTCTTTTAAGTGCTATACTTATACCTTTCAACAATCATTTTACTATATAGTCAATGGCTCTTTGTAGCAAGAACAAAAAGGAACTATCCGCAGTTTTTCAATAGACTTTGAGCTGGGGAAAGACAGGTTAATCGAGGGTTGCATCTAGAAAACAACCAAGTGTTGTATGTTTGCACTGAATCCAAATGTCTGCATTTTCCTAACTAAATCAAAGGGAGTGTTATTTCTTTTTCTGCTCACTCATCTGAAGGTAAGTAAATTTTCTCTGGCGATCAAAAGCTTGGTCAGCAACAAAGACACCGCCTGCTTTTTCCACCGTCCTGGTGTGGCAAGTTGAGGAATTTCAATAACTGTGACAAGGGTGACTGATTTGTGAACTAGAAAAGGTTTGAATGTCAGAAAATTTACATTGCTCCGATCTATCGAGGATTTTAAATAAATTTTACCCTCCCCCCACCACCACCACCAAAAAAAGAAAAAAAAGTAGAAAAAAGAAAGTACCCGGGAGTTTCATGCAGCAGAGAGGAAACAAAGTAGCTTTGAGAAATTTACAGTTTTTTTTTTTTTTACCTGAATGAAAGGGATCTCGTGGAAAAAAAGAAAAAAAAAAAAAAAAAAGCAGGGGTGAGGGGAAGGGAAAAAACAAACCACAATAACAAAAAGGGGGGAAACAACAACAACAGAAACTAGAAAGTTAAGAGCTCTCACCCACCTGCGTTTTGATGGGTGCAGAAAACAAGATTTATTTCAGAAAACTGATGGAGGGCTAGAGTCAGTTACCCCGAGAAATCACGCTTGTTGTTTAAAGATAAAATCAAACGCAATCGGCATATGCTCTGGAGAGCTGCAGTTTGAAACAAGGAGAAAACACAACTTCAAAAGAAGCCAGGCACAAAAGGGCTTCCCTTTTCACACCCTAAAAAGTTGCTCAGGGTGGTTAAAAATTCTTGATCTCCAGGCAATCATCATGACCATCATTAAGAGTATGATTGTGAAGAGAGGGGGGAAAAATAACAGTAATAATATGGATCAGGTTTTTGGAGCGCGCGCGCGTGCACACACAGAAAAAGACGCGTTTGAAATATTTTCGTGCAAAAAAAATTTGGCTTTATAAAAAAAAAAAGTTGCTACTCCTGGAAGCCCTGTTTGTCAAAAGGGATGTCAACGCGCTGCACAATACCTGGGATTGATGAGCCGGGCGGGCCAATCAGGAGCGAGAGGAGGCTTTGCGCGCCCTTAGTTGGCGAGGAAGGGGGGAGCCGCGAGGGAAGGGGGGAGCCGCCAGGCACCAATGATCTCCCACGTCCGCCTTGACGTCGCTCCTCCCCTTTCTCCCATTCATCAAGGGGGGGGACGGTGTCGTCTTTTCAATTCATTTATCTGCAGGAATGATTGCCGCTATCAGTCTCGCGTTCACCGCCCGGCTGAGGAGGTGAAAGTTTCTCCCCAGGAAGATAAACCGCAAAAGACAATATTGTGCATGATTTGCGCCTTTTTTTGCAAAGCGAAAAAAAAAAGGCCCCCCAAAAAAAAGAGGAGGAAAAAAAAAAAAAAAGCTCGGGGAGAGTGCGGGAAGGCGAGGAGCAGAGAAAAATCTCTCGGCCACTCCGCTGCCTTCCCAGAGCCCAAAGCGAACTGAAGGAAGTTTATTTTTGTTTTGTTTTGTTTTTTGTTTTTGCTGCGCGCCTTGATCTCTCTCCAGCATTGTTATCCGCGACCCGCTTCTTCCGAGCCCCCTACCCCCTCCCCGTGCAACCCCGGCAAAGCCAGAGCAGAGACAGTGATTTTTTTGGTGAATATTTTTTATTATTATTATTTGCAACTGCGAGGTCTTTCCCCCTCTCCTCCTTCTGCTTCTCCCCCCCACCCTTTTTTTTCCGGCGCGCCGATGCCGAGGGGGGTGTTTTTGATGTGGTCGCTTTGGTGGTGATTGTCGCTGACTTTCCAGAGAGGGTGTTTTTGCCGCCGCCGCTGCTGCTGGCTGCTGCTTCTCCTCCGTGTTGTGTGTTTTTGGTCGCTGCGCCGAGAGTGGGAAGATGCTTCTGGATGCTGGACCGCAGTATCCCGCCATAGGAGTCACTACCTTCGGATCGTCTCGCCACCACTCCACGGGCGATGTGACGGACAGAGAAGTGGGGCTGGGGATCAACCCCTTCGCCGATGGCATGGGCGCCTTTAAAATTAACCCCAGCACCCACGAGCTGGCCTCGGCCGGCCAGACCGCCTTCACCTCGCAGGCACCCGGCTACGCGGCGGCGGCGCTGGGGCACCACCACCACCCGACCCATGTCAGCTCCTACTCCAGCGCAGCCTTCAACTCCACCCGGGACTTTCTGTTCCGCAACCGGGGCTTCGGCGAGGCGGCCGCGGCCCGCGCCCAGCACAACGCCAGCGCCCAGCACAGCCTCTTCGCCTCCGCCGCCGGCAGCTTCGCCGGACCCCACGGCCACACCGATGCCGCGGGACACATCCTTTTCCCGGGGCTGCACGAGCAAGCCACGAGCCACGCTTCTCCCAACGTGGTGAACGGGCAGATGCGCCTGGGCTTCTCCGGAGACATGTACGGGAGACCCGATCAGTACGGCCAGGTCACGAGCCCCCGATCCGAGCACTATGCATCGACCCAGCTGCACGGCTATGGCCACATGAACATGAACATGGCAGCCCACCATGGGGCAGGGGCCTTCTTCCGCTACATGAGGCAGCCCATCAAACAGGAACTCATCTGTAAGTGGATTGAGCCCGAGCAATTGTCAAACCCCAAAAAGTCCTGCAACAAAACTTTCAGCACGATGCACGAGCTGGTGACTCATGTCACCGTGGAGCACGTTGGAGGACCCGAGCAGTCCAATCACATCTGTTTCTGGGAAGAGTGTCCGCGAGAGGGGAAGCCTTTCAAGGCCAAATATAAACTTGTAAATCACATCCGAGTCCACACAGGTGAAAAGCCCTTCCCTTGCCCGTTCCCAGGCTGTGGGAAAGTGTTTGCCAGATCAGAGAATCTCAAAATACACAAAAGAACTCACACAGGTACAGTACCCTTCTCTGTAGCTTTCTTTCTGCAGCTAGCAGAGCTGAGCTTTCCCCAAAGAGTCTTGGCTGGGAGTCAGGGGAAAAATGGGAGGGGAAAGCATTGGCAAGGGGCACTTGCTTTCTGCAAATGTGGATGGGAGCTGTGCGAGATGCCTTTGGAGCAGGGGGGGAAGGGAGTGGAAACAATTTCCAAAGCGTCTCGGAAGCAAAATAAAATGAAATAAAATAATTATTTCCCCCCCTAACGTTAATGAAAAGAGAGGGAGAACGACTGTCCTGGAGGAGGGGAGTGAAAGAAAAAAAAATAGCAGCATCCTGCCTGGGTAAATTTATAGGTTTTAATTAATCGGTCGTCGGCAGATTTTACTGTATCACAATGAGAAATTGGGCTAAATATCCAGGCAGCCAGTTCCTATCCCCTTTTGTAAATCCGGCGTTGGTTAATATTTAATTGCGAGGGGTAATTTGAAAAAATCCAAGCCGAAGATGTTCCTTTCTGATCGTAGCATTAAAATGAGCCCTGGAGATGGGCACAAACTTTTCCAAATCGCAGGATATATAAATCCATAGACTTCGCTGCCTGCTTTTGCTGCTCTCCGTATCTTGCCATTGCCAGGGAGCGGGCAGGGATTTCCTAGATTATTCCCAACGATGTCGGTAGCTTTGAAGGCATGAAGGGGAAAGCAGGTCCCGGCCAGAATAATTTTCAATATTGTATGAAAATATGTGGGCTGGGCAGGCTAAGTATCACGAGAATGAGTCAGAAAAGCGGAACCTAGACGCTGAGGCTTGTGTCTGAGCGCTGTAGCGCCTCGTGTATCGCTTGGAGCATTGTGATGAGCAGGACATGCCAGGGGCTGGGAAATTAAAATAAAGCTCTTCTTTTGGGGCGGGGGAGGGGGTCGTGGAAGGGACGGCTCTTTCCACCGTGCCCCGCACAGCGAGGGGAGGTGAAGCCCGGGCGTGGGTCCGGGTGCTGAGAACCAGCAGTCGCGAGTTGGGAAGTTGCAGGCGTCTCACGGCTCCGCGCCGCGGGGGCGATTTCCTGCCTCTTCCACCCGAACGGTGCAAATGCGGCTTTCTAATCAGCTCCCCCTTTTTTTCTGCACTAGGTGAAAAGCCATTTAAGTGTGAATTCGAGGGCTGTGACAGGCGCTTTGCAAATAGCAGCGACCGTAAAAAGCATATGCATGTGCACACTTCTGACAAACCATATCTTTGCAAAATGTGCGATAAATCCTACACGCACCCCAGCTCCCTCAGAAAACACATGAAGGTAATGGACTTGCATTCTTTTATGTGCTCTTCCCCAGCCTTTCTCTCTGACGCTTTCCTGGCGATTTACAACGCTGCTATTTAACTAGCTAAGGCTGGAAGACTTGCAAAAAAAAAAAAAAAAAAAGAAGTGCCCTGTGTTTGGCTCTCAGTCTGGCTGTGGCGGTGTAAGGCAGCGTTTGGGAGAAGTGCTCAGTGGCCAGAAAATTGGGAGAGACAAGGGCAATCTGGCCAGGGCTGGGTTTCTTCCAGAAAGGTTTAAACAAGCGCTGTTTATTTGGCTCAAGGGCAGGCGTGCTCCCGAGCGGAACGTGCGGGCTCACAATGGAGGAGCAGGCTCCGGGCTCTGGCCGCGGCGAGCTGGGCTCGGCGAGCGGGGCAACTCGGGGCTTCCAGCAGATCCGCTCCCTTTTGTGTGCCAGGCCCGGGTGCAGCTCACATGGGAGTGCCCTGCGGGAGCCTGGGAAGCAGGTTGTTTATGCAAACAGCTCGAGTCGCGCGTTTCTATGCGCCCAGCAACCTGCATTCCCAGCAATGCAATATTTCCCCAGACTTTGGCCCAGCAAAACGGTCTGTAACATTTCCGAGGCGAAGTTGGGAATTCAGCCTAGAGGTTCCCTGTGGGGGAGGAGGGGGGATGGGGGTGCCCGTAGGGTGGGGGTGGGGTGGGGGATTAGAAGTCTATATTCCTGTTTTCTATATCTGCCCCCCCCCTTTTCTACTCTGTTATCTATTTATGTCCGTATTTATTTTGCAGGTCCATGAGTCATCCTCCCAGGGGTCCCAGCCTTCTCCCGCCGCCAGTTCAGGCTACGAATCCTCGACCCCCCCAACAATCGTGTCTCCATCTACAGAAAACCAGACCACAAGCTCCTTATCCCCCTCTTCCTCAGCAGTCCATCACACGTCCAGCCACAGCACGCTTACATCAAATTTTAACGAATGGTACGTTTAAAACCCAATACAAACAAAAGAATTTTAAAATCCCACAAAAATAACAACCAACCAACCCTATTTAAAAGACTCCAAAATTAATGAACACTTTGAAATCAAAATTAATAATAAAAAAAAAAAGCTGCCAGTAGACCCAGGACTGACTCAAATGAAGAATCTTTTTTGTTTTGTTTTGTTGAGAGGCTTGGTAGGCAAGGGGTTAGTGCGATGCATGAGAGGACAAGGTTACCAGGCCAGATGCCAACTGTGTAGGGCTTTGCTGGAACCACTGATTAGAGGTCTCCAACTGCATGTCTCCTTGGGCAGCGGCCTTTTTTTCTGTAAATACAGAATTACTAGCTTAAAATGTACTGTTTGATTTTGTAAATAGTTATATCGCAAGTTGAATAAGGGGAATCTGTGGAATTGTGGTCTTTGCATTTATGTGGGGGGAGGGGAAGGGAGGGTGAGGTGCCGGGTGGGGGGAGGAGGGGGGAAGAGGGAGGCGGTAGAAATTCAACTATTTGTACTGAATGGCAAGAATGTTCTAGTAAATGTGTACCAAAATGTGAATTACTTTGTATTATTACAGTCTAAACGTCGATCTAACAGAATATTATTGGTATTAATGTGCTTTTTTTGTATAAAGTGCAAACATTTCGTCCCAAAGTCCAGTCTAAGTAGTGCAGTAAAATGTTGTTCCACGTCCTGTCAAGCAATTCGTATAGTGAAAGCCTGGATCTGCGTGTCAAACTGTTACATTTGTTTATGTAAAGTGATATTAAAAAAAGCTATAAACTATATCTGTCCGTTGCTTTTGGCAAATACCAGAACATAATGTATATAAATCCTAATTTCCATATTTATCCGCATGTAAAGGTCCGGTTATACATGTTACAGATATTCAATATTTATGGCTAGAAGAATTGGTATGTAAAATTTAGTTTACAGAACTGTTTGGTAACATTTCGTACCTTATTAAAGATTCTTAAATCCCATCCATTGTGGTAGGAAGTCTTATTCATTCAGCCAACCTGCTGCAACTTCAGCCAGCTTTAGAATATTAAAATAAAACTGTACCAGTTTTTCACTGCTTTCCATTATGTCATCACTAAAGCAGCGACGGTGATATAAATGTGATAAATGAACGGATCCCTGCTGGCATTAGTATAGTGTGTAATTAGTATTTATATCAAAATTTATGAAACAAATTTTCGGCCGCAGTATAATTTAAATGACCTTTGCAGACATAGAATAACAACCATAAAAATAACAGAAATAGATTGCATATGCTACATAAATATTAATGTGGGGGAACTGTGCTAGGGAGTGCCTCGTTCTCCACCAATGAATCTGCCTATACTATGTCCCTAAATTAAATTAATCCGGATAACACATATTAGGAGATTTAAAACAGAGGATATTTTAGTTGCTATTTTAATTTAAAGCATTTATGACCATAACTAATTCTCCTGCTGTAGATTCATGGCTTTCCAAGGGCCTTCCCCTCCCACCCCCCACCCCCTCCCCTTTCTCCCTGGAAGTACAGCACTAGGTTCATAAAGGCGGTTTTTTGCTGATATTCCTTAAAACGTGATGTTAATTTAAATCAATTACTTCGTATGCTGTGCTATTATTATTACTATAATTTTGCCAGTGTTAATAGCTTTCTAAAAAAAATAAATCTAGGGGCTAAGAATTATTTTATGTAATTTGATTATCTTTCTATCTCTTTTATTTATTTCTCATTTACTTAAGAAATTCGTTCCATTGGCTGGCGTTGATACAGTAAATTTGTAAATGCGAAGACAATATAAAAAATCTAAATTACTTGTGCTTAATGACTGTAGCAGAACGCCTTTTCTCTAAATCAGATTGTCTTTCTTGCAGTTTAGTTTGATAGATTTGCAGGCTGTACTGCTTCCACTAACTTAGCTACGGTTGTTGGAACTGTTGGGCTTTGTTCCTTGTTGTAGCTTGCATGATCGCCCCATTAAGCAGACAACATATCAACAGACAACACAAATCATGAGCTTGGCTAAAGCTGCGAGTGCTTGTGATATGTCATAGAGTGAATTGCACAAACTGACCTTCCAGTAGACCAAGATGACACTTTAACAGCTTCTTTAAAGAAATATTATGTGTACAGCAAGTCAATAGGCATATTAACTGCTAGAAGTGGAGGAGGAAGCTGAGCCTGTGCTCATATTAATGCGTTCACAATTTCAGTGGATCTGTAAACTATCCAGAGCATATCACCGAGAGATTTATTTATTTTTTTAAAATGCATTTTGTGCCTCCCTGAACCTTTTTATATTGCTGTCCCCGAGCTATCACAATAATAAGTCTTAATTGGTCAAACTGGAGGGAAAAATCTTCAGCTAGTTGTGCACACAATCCTGGCCTCTAAAGACCTCGCGAGAAATGCTATAGTTTAACTTTACTTTCTACAAAATGTTATTCTTATTATAAGCCTAATATCAGTTCTCAATGAAAAGAGCGCCACCTTGCAGGGTTTTGCGAGATTTAAAGAAGTTCAAGACCACTGGGACCTAACCAGGAATTGTTGCAACTTGCAGAAATGTATTTAATAAGACAAAAATAACCGAGCAAAATCGATGAGTAGGTCTAAAGTGTTGGTAACTCTGAATGGTCGGAGGGTAGGTGTCCCATCAGTTTAATCGGGAAGGTGTTTAAAAAATAACATAGAGGAAGGAAAATAGTGGGGGATGTAAATCGCCAGCAGTGTAAATTAAAAGAGGAGACATAGGTTGGGCTAAATAGTTGGAAGAAAACATTTGCAAGTTTCTCTGAGCTTATATTTTAGTCCCTAGTGGTCACTTAGCGCGCACCTATTACTTACATGGATCTGAACACATGGCTAACGATTATTCTTTTAGGTTTTTTCTCTGAGAATTGTTTCAGCATCCCAAACGGCTGAGATTTCATTTTTCTTGTTGTGTATTTGGATGGGTTCTCTGAACACGGTGACGGCCGTGAACTAATGAACGATCGCTTCAGCAGCGGTGGTCAGAATTAGGGAATATTGCTGGAAATAAATAAATTAATTAATAATAAATTAAATAAATAAATAATCGCCAATGCTGAATTCAAATCCACTTCCCAGTTGCTGTGTTCTCTTTGGTTGTCGAGACGAGAATAGTGTTTGGAAACCTCAGGGCACAGTGGTATTTTGCAGAGAAAGATTGTGATTATTCTATCGGATGTTTAACCTGGTTAGCTAATCACTGGAGCAACTTTACGGTAGAAATTAACAGTTTACGATGATCTCTTAACAACAAAGACTCGAGAAGAACAATATTAACGATAGAGGTTTCAAACTTACACGTAGCCTGTTATTTTGTCCCTACCTTTAACGTCTGCTTCTTGAAATGTATTTTTCATACTTTTCTTCATGGGCTATTAGGTTTCGAAATACATGAATGTTAGGAGCGAAATATATTGAGAGACTCTATTTAGCAGAAACGGAAGTGTGTGCTGAAAATGACTTGTTTCGTATCTAGTTGTGTATTTTGATTGAGCCAATATGCTGGGGCTTAAACCGCTGCTCTGTCGTTCTGCATCCGAGAAGTTATTGATAAGTTCCCTAGTGTCAATATGAAACCTGTGAAGATATCCAGCAAGACAGCAGGATTTGTCAAATGGTGCCTCGATGCGTGTGCACATACGCGCACACCCCGCCTGTGCCATTATGTTTGTGTGATGTGTGCTCGTGTGAGAGATTGTATGTGTGTGTGTGTGCGCGCGCGCACACCCTCTCACAGCATAGATACACATGTTTGTGTTATATGCGCGCACACACATCAACACAGAACAGCAATCGGTCGCTTCTGTCCTTTCAAGAATCGCCTTTCAAATCGCTTTAATCGCTTGTGAATGATCGTTTGCATTTTTTAAAAAAAGTCGAGACCATTCATGAGACAAGTTAGCCTGCAGAAAGCGAGGCACGTCCGAAATAAAGATATAAGCTTCGAATTGGCCTTGCCTACTTATCCTTTTTCTTGCTTTAACTGGAAGTAAAAATAACAGTCACACCACTGCTGGGCATGCCACTTGGATTTTATTTATTTATTTATTTTTGCTGAGATCTTGGTTACTTCGGTAAATTGTCACAACCGTGTAAGTTTTTGACACGTACGAAGCACTTGTTCATTTTTCAAGAGTCCCTTTTTAGCGGTTAATTCTGTGCAAATGATAGTAATGGGTATTATTTGTGTATACTAGAGTATAAAAAGCATACAGGCTGTCACTGTGATCAGTCGAAGTTCTCTTTCATCTGGGAAATAATTGCAAATAATTATTAAATATAAAACGTCCAAAAGGCAGAGTTGCAAAAATTTAAATCTATGGGTAACAAACTAATTTTTAGTAAGAAAAGTGCAGCTGATGTCTTTTGGTGTAAATGAATCGAAGTGTACTCCACTGATAGCTACCACGGTGTAAACTATTGGCGAAATGTATATATGTGTGCTCGTGTGTGTGTGCACAGAGCATAGACATACATAGATGTCTGTCTGTGTGTGTATGTGTGTGTGTGTGTGTGTGTGTGTGTGTATATATATATATATATATATATACATATATACACACACACCAATTTTATACCTGTACATCTGATACGATACTATACATGAATAACAGACACACGCATATGCTTATCCATATTCCACCTCTATACATATAGGCGTGGGTGTGTTTATGTGTGTGTGGAAGGCGCACACACACGTGGGGGTCGGGTACTTAACTTTCAGAATTGGTTATCGATCCTGCTGTATTAACCAATCGCAGACATTTAGCCAGGATGTTTAAACAGGAAAGTGCTACATTTTCATTAAAATACAAAAATACTCTTGTGACTCCATTATTGTTGAATGAATGGAGCAACGCATTAAAACGCCCGGAAACCGTTTCATGGGCAGCTCCATGCAAAACGCATACTCTGAGATGCTGAAATTAACAGAGATCTTCGAGTAGGCAAGACAAATTCTCATTTAGAAAAACGTGAGGAAATAAATATTTTTCGGTTCCATGATTCCAGGCAGCGATTCGATGCACAGATTTCTATCTGATCTCTATGTGATCTATTTTGTTTGTATACCTATATCCATACATAATTGTACATGCTACTAACATTGCTGGATTTACGGTGCAGATCTATCCTGTATATATTTTGTGTATATAAACGTAAGTGCTGGCGCGCACAGATGCATATATACACACATTATTGGAGATACAGAAAAGAGGACTATAATTGACATTTCCATTCGTGTTTTTATTTATTTTTTTTAATATTGAGTTGTGGCCTAAACTAAAATAGATCTACCTGGCTGTGTTTGTGTAGGAGTGTCTTTCCATAGACGCGATTAATACAGTAGATATGAGTATAAATTAATTATATTTACAAAGCTAATATTTATTTTAATGTATACAATGGGATTAGTAATTGGACGACTAATTCTAGACTAGAAATAGTGAAAAATTCTTCAAATTCGGTGAATGTTTTAAGTTATTCTATTTTATCCCAGGCATACTGTAACTACAGGGTGTGTTATATACAAAGCACAGCCCAAGTTTTTTATTT